CCTGGAATGAGAGAAACTGATTATGCTATATTTTAGTATGATCCCGATTAAAAGAATAAAACAAGCTACCGTTTGGCTCAAAATATAATCATTTCGAGCTCTCATCATCAAGACCTACCCACCTACCAAATATCAAGGCAATCTATTGAAGCCTTCTCGAGTTATCGTGTTGACACACACACGCACACACACACACACACACACACACACACACACACACACACACACACACACACACACACACACACACACACACACACACACACACACACACACAGAGAGAGAGAGAGAGAGAGAGAGAGAGAGAGAGAGAGACGAACGCTACCGAAAACATAACCTTCTTGGCGAAGGTGATAAACGAATAAACAAGGAAATGGATTGTGACCTTCTGTATGCTTTCATGAATGTCCTCAAACCACAATTTGACCAATTTGATACTTTTAAACCGGCCAGGCCTGATTCCTTGTACTTAATTTAGATACTAAATGAGTCAGTGCAATTTGTACAAATTGCTCTGTGTTTCAAACTATAAAATTATGCTGGCCTTTTTATATACTGTTGTTTTTCAAGTCAGTGCTTCCAGGTTTCTGAGAATCCGTTTATCCGATTATGTCCGTTGATCCATCAGAGAAGATAGTGGTCATCATCATCACCATCATTACTCTTCTTGATCTTTAACTTCTTTATTACCTAATCGTAAATTGTTATTAAACGGTATGATCCCTATGGTGTCATCAAAAGATTTACCTTACCGTACTGCGACACTAACTTTAATTAGAATTACCTATCAAGTCAAAACTTTATCATTCTTTATTAGATTTCAGTAATGAGGTATATTGTGGTAAGCTATAATGGAGATTGAATGGCAATGGCGTTGGGTGTAATTAGTTTTTTTTTACCTTCTTTGGTACGCAATCCGTTAGTGGCAGACGCAAACTGGGTCGACGTCTCTGGGACTCATTTTAGGATAACCTCTTACCTAGTGTGTTGAATGTACAAGCACTTTATTGTGCGATAATTGTACGTGGTACTATGTATGGCAACAACTATTGAACATAGCACAAAAAAGGTATAGAATAAAATTTAACATCCTAATCACTAAGACAACAAGGGATAGCATAAGCTAATCATATTTTTTCTAATAACAAAGCAGTCTTTTCCCCTATATTGTGAGAGTTATTGCAATTTAAGATATATTCAAATCTGTCTATACCATCGAGTCTCTTGAAATTTGTTGTACTTGAGTGGAGAAATGTGAATGAGTTGCATGTTACGTAAACCATCATATCTGGGGCATTCTATATAAATATATCTGTCCCTGTTGACCAGGATTTGTCTTACTGGTACATTTCTTAGGTATAAATAGGCAGACAAAACACAGCATGAGATCGAGATGAACTGCGTCAGCTTTACATGAAGGTTTTGTAACAAGTCCCCGTGTGTATATACACATCTTCACAACTAAATACAAGGTACAACAACCCACAGGCATTCTCAGTGGCCTTTGCTCAGATTCTCAATTAGGCCACACCGCCTTAATTTTATGGATGACATCCTCTGAAGACCCCCAAACTAGTGCGCGCGGGCGAATAAAAAAATTCCGGCCAAAAATAAAAATGCTTCTAAACCACAGGAATACATAGCTGGTATGGTATGGCAGTACATTGCGACGTATACGATAAGCCACAGGCATTCTCAATGGCCTCCATAATGTTGCTAACTAGAGCCTCTTTTGCTATGAGAACAGGTGAAAATCAATGCGCGCGCGGATGTCATCCATAAAATTAAGTCGGTGTGGCCTTATGCTGCCTGAGCCATGGCTTACTTTTACATACTGGGGTAATATGTTGAGAGCGTTCTCAGTGATAGCTTGATAGATTATTCCCTTAGAAGAAAGCACTATTTTTTCACGCATACAAGTCACTAACAATAGAGCCTGTCAACAGCTTGCAATCCCCTTAGCCAGCAAAATCTTATAAGGCCACAGCAAGTAAATTTTATGGATGACATCCTCCGCAGACTTCAAATCTAATGCGATAGGGTGAAAAAACAAGGCGGGCCAAAGAGGCAAGGTTCATACATTTTCCAATTTTGACATCATAAACCTTACAAACAAGAAATGATATCTATGCTAAGTTTACTGCCAACTATTTCAATAGTTGTACACATGGTTTTGATTCACATATACACAGCCACCATGATATGATATATAAAAGGAATGAGATAAATCACTTCATCAAAGTGAAAGACAAAACATTAAATCGGAGCCTTGTCTTGTCTCCTCTCTTCATATTTATCTGCCATCCACGTTCCGGCATGGCAACAGACATATTTGACCATTTTCCGCCGGCCATGTTGACATCTGTCAGAGAGCAACAAAATTTCTTGTTCTTTTTTTCCAAAATCAGACGGAAATAAATGCGCGCGCTGATGCCATCCTTAAAAATTACTTGCTGTGGCCTAAGTGCACCTGGCTCTATGTAGTGCATTAGTTGATCAAGGAAATGTCACATTTACTTTTCCTATCGAGTTATGTTTCTTAGAATCTGTCTGTGACTCCCTGAACAATAAGCGAAAGCCTCGTCCGGTAGATTGTAATTGGACATTAACATGGAGGGTCTCGACCTCCAAGATTGAATGACCTCTCCCCGCGATAGAATATAAAACTAAAAGCTAACGTAAGGCGACGCACCAGGGCTTGGTGTGATTAAGTTATGGTATCGGGCACACAGTAAATCCAATTCATATACTTAACCTTTCTGGGAAGAAACTCCACTACGCCAAATCTGATTACAACTCGACAGTACAGCGGTTTTTAGACTGATTGGGGAGGAAGTCTGGGCTAATGTCGTTCAGAACATTGACCTTACGAGTTACATACATTGTACATGTATGTATCTTGAAGCTTTCGCTGTTTCAGTGTCTCTCTCATCCAAAACTTCCTCTCATCTCATCTATCCCTTAGTCTAATTATTTTCAAACCTGATATTTGTAATAGCATTTGGCAGCGTAGTCGTAGTAAGTGACAGTAGCTGTAAAGTTTCCTACTGCTTTACTTTATTTATTTATTTATGACGATTTACCACATTTGTGGAAGGATTGACATAACAGGTGACTATCACCTCTTCAAAGATGTCAAACCTGAGACCAAACTGTAAGGTTTGAAACACTCACACCGGGAAGGTCCCCTACTCTTTTCGATAAGTGTGGTGGGTTCTTTAACGTGCGTGGGGTGTGGCTGTCCCAAACACGGGACCTCCATTTAACGTCCTATCCGAGGGACGTCCCTAGCCGAAGCTAGGTACTCATCTACACCTGAGTGAAGTGAGGAAAGTCGTGTAAAGTACCTTTCCCAAGGGTACAACGTCGCGGCGCATGTTCGGACATGTTCGGGTACGACCCAGAATCGAACCCGGGTCTCCCCGTTTCAGAGTCCAGTGATGTACCACACCACACGACGCCACTTTACTTGCTCTCAGACTGATACTGTACGTTAGCAATTAGCCTTCGGGCAAATGAAGATTGTATTTGACCGTTGGGTACAGTTGGAACAGTCGGCGGAGAACGGCTAGTCTGGAGGCTGTTGTTGTAGTTATGCCATACCTAGTCAGGGTGTCCTTCACACTCGCTATCCATGACTTCCTAGGATGACCCCTGGCCTTGGTTCCAGATTTTCTGTTGTTCTGACTTGTATGCTCTGTGGTAATTTTTGTGGTGGCATCCTTACAATGTGACTAAACCACGTCATTTGTTGTTGGTCAATGAACTGTCGTACTGGATTTACTCCTACCATCTGTCTGATTGTTTCTGATTTTGTCTCGTCTGGTCTTGTTGACAACTCGTCTCAGGCACCGCATTTCGATTTTTCGTTCCAGGGGCTAGTCAAGGTAGAAGTCTGGTACTGGCAACTTTGACTTCAAGCGACTGAAAACTAATTCCGTTAACAGCATGACATAGGTCTTCAGTTAGTCAGTCAGCCTCCTCATATTCGGTCAGAAAACGTGTTTCACGTCTGCACTATCATGACTATATTACAGCCATTCTGTATATGATTAGATAATTAACTGATAGTATCTCTATCATACGATCAAGCCACAAGAAAATATCTTCAAAATGTGTTTATATTTATACAAAAAGCCATCACCATTCCATGTGATATACATGTACATGAATTCATCAAGGCTATAAATATATTTCATTACAAATTTAGAGATTTCTAAAATCATCTACATATCATTTCTCAAAATATTCTTCAAACATAGCAGCATTGGAAGACGACTGGATGTCTGTTGCATGTCAGTCGCATAAAGAAAGCTCCATTGGTGACAAGTTTGTTACGCTTAAAGACTGTCACACATACTTTTTGATGTTTTTTTTTTGTAGTACTCCATCTGGAATTGTTATTATTGGAACTGGAGTTGGTATTATTGTTCCAGAAAAGTACATGTATTGCAACCACTATCACTGTTGCACATTGTAGCAAATACAGCAGTCAACTGTACAATAGTAAGACAGTGATTTGTACCAAGTAATATACATTATGTGCCAAGCAAAATCTTGCAGCATTTCCACATCAATTCTAGATTTCTAGCTTACAAAGTTTTTATGCTCGAAGTTTCTAGAAAAATCACTATTTGAATTAGTGCACTGATCACTAACCCTCGTTGGAATATAAATCATACTCAGCATTTCTTGTTGGAAGCTGATAAGTACTTCTTTCTGGAAGACTTAGATCAAATTGGGTATACAGATGCCAGTGTATTCAAAGTCACTGGGTAATGCACTTGATTATACAACATCCTCATGATTATACAATATCATCATGATTGTGCACTATAAAATCACATACAAGGTAACATCTAATAAAAATAGGGATGTCAACATAAAATTTACTGCCAAATAAAGCATCACAATCTTTGCCATTATACAATAAAAATTATACACATCAAATTTACTTCTGAACTCCTATATAACCATATAACATATTTCCCTTCAAAATTATAGTGTTGTTCTCTGTGTTATATGCTTTATTCAAATCTATGCATAACTTTGACAGTAGAAGAGACAAAGTTATGCAGTTCAATGATACACAACAATTTGATTGACTAATCTTATTGGATACAAGAGCCATTTTTAAGATCTTGTGCCTTTGAATATAGTTTTAAACAAATGTGACTGGTAGCCTTAACAACAAAATTGAACCTACCAAGCATTAAAATCTATTAACAGTAGAAACAATTATTTAAATCAACCCAAATAATTTAAGCTGCTGGTTGTGCTGCCTTTTTCTTCATGGTCTTGAGTTGTTTCTTGAGGAGGTACTCCTCCGCCCGGCACATGGGCTTCTCCACAGGGAGGAAGTCCTGCTTGTATATGGTGGTCAGGTCCTGTTCGCCCAGGGAAGCCACCGGCTTGTTCTCCGGTTTGTAGTTGGTCACTTTCTCCGCCTTCAGCGGGACAAACTCGTGTTTCGTCGTGGAGTACCCCTCAAACTTCCTGAGCGGCGGGACGTAGTGCCCCTCGTGGAAATCCCCGAAGCGTACGCGCGGCGAGGTGCCCCAGTCTTTGAAGAAGGTGTCGTTCATGGTGGTCCCGTCCAGTTTGGCGTTGGTGGGTTTCAGACTGGGCTGAGGCTGGAGGGCGGGGGCGTTGTATGCACCGCGGACGTCCTGCGTACGGAAGTCCTGCATCGTGATGGTCGTCCCCTCAAACGGCAGGTTTGGATCCGTCTGGTACTCCTGGAAGAAAGTTAATTAAAACATCTTAATGGTGTTGTTCTCAACAGTGTTGTTGACTTTGATAAGTGTTAAGTAAAGCCAACCATAATGCTGCCATTCCAATTTGTGATTGCTTGGTGAAAGTTTGCATTATGATTGGCATAGTGATACATGTAGCTATGATGTGTAGATAACAAATTGCTGCACAAGTCCAATATGTGACATACATACTTTAGATATTGTTCAATAATCAATGTGTGTCAGAATTACTTCACATTTGGGATCACATTGTCAGCAGTAATGCCGAATATATAATATATACTCAGTGCATAGTGAATCAGTAACACCTAGCTTGATCAGTGCTCAGTCCACTTAGCTTGACAATAATGAGCCCTCTTGCAAGATTTACAACATTAATGCAAAAGGGCTCATTGCAAGATTCTGTAAACTGAGGCCCAAGTGAACATGGTGATCAACTAACTCACCTGTTCCTTCCTAATAAGGTCAGGTCGCGGGTGTACGCGTGCGTCGTAACCCGGGAACGACCCCATCTGCTCTGTCTCGAAGTTACGCATGCGGGAGTGCATTGTCAGCCGGATGGTTTCAGGCGCCGGCGTGCACATCTTGGTACGAGGCTGTCTCTTACCCTTGAAGTCAAACTGATACTTGGTCTGCATGTTTTTGTCACCTGTGGTTAGATAAAGTACATGTATTGTCATCATGATTCTGTCAACTTTTAAAATACTGTTGCCACACCTTTTGTAACTAAATGTGACAAGTTCACAACTAAAGCATTATACAAGGCATTTAATTTCATGTAATAAGTTACTTAGTATATGAAATTGTATAGTATCTACCATGAACGGATGAACTTGGCTGAATGCTATTATTCATTGTATTCCACCTAATGTAATATTTACTTTATTTATAGAAAAAAATAAGTTCATGGAATTTTTGTTTTAAATTTGTTTCTTCTTTTTTTCCCCAACCAAACTGGAACTAGCCTGCCCCCTGTTGTAGTAGCTTGTGTGGCCTAAGGGCTGATAGAAACAGAGATGGGCACTGTCTTTATACACCAAAAGAAGTGGGATGAATTTGAACAGCATGTCGGCAGAATGTACTGCGCCTGCGCAAAACCCTGCTTTTCACAGTTTTCGATGGACGTTTGGTCAATGTTGCATCAGAATTTTTCCCATTACAGATCTGATATCTTTTCAGACACAACATTTGGAAACTACTGTCGGGATTTCAACTTAATATATATGCAAATATGACCTTATGTGAGACATTCAGCCAAAGTGCTATGTACAATACACTACGGGTTTTGTACAGGTGCAGTATGTTCTACCGACATGCTGATGTGAACTGTTCCTGACCTCTCCTGGGTATGACCATCTCCTGGTCGCGTGCGGGGGCGCGTGTAGCCGGCGCGGCGTCCCGGTGTCCGCGGTACGTCTTCATGTTGGTGGTCTCCAGGTCGTGGCTCCCCTCCAGGAGGATGTTGTCAGGTTTAGACTTGACCAGCTCCGTTTTCCCACCCAGTTTCTCCGGGAAGTCGGCCATGGTCACAGACTTCAGGTGCTTCTTGGAGTCAGCAGGGTTTGGGTACAGGATGGACCCTGGGAAAAAATTTTTCAAATGTCGCGTTAAATCATGTTCAAATGGTTGCATTTCCTAAAATTGACAAAAATTACCTGATTGTTTTGTTTCCTTTCATAGACATTATCTTGAAGTTCACAATCAAGTTTAAGGTGCCCAAGATTTCTGACAAATTGTATAGTCTCTCAAGAAACTGTTTGCACTTAGGTCACTTACTAAGTACTATAAGTTATAACTCAATGTCATTGAATCTAGAAGTTGAAAGTAAATTTGAACTTGTAGACATACTGTTTTAACAATATACATATGTTCAGATTCTTGTATTTATGACAATAATACGCTTGAATTTCAAAATCTATCCAGTTGCTTGAGTAATTGCTTTGTGTATCTCATTATCTGGGTGTCTAACCTTCATTGACGCATAAGTTTGGTTCTTCCAGTTTCATCTACCTGAGCATAGAACTGTGAGATAACAGACACAAACACCCTATATGTAGAAACAATGGCTTAGAGTCAGTACAGAGCCCTGTTTTACCTGTGAAAGTGGGAAGTTCACCAAACTGGAAGCGAGGCTGCGGCACCCATGGTTTGAAGAAGTCTCGGTTGGCGGTGCGGGAGTCCAGCTTGTGTCTGGTTGGTTGGTGGGTGGTGACAGGGCGCGTCAGGTGGGCGGGGGATGATGACTTCTCCAAAAACTCCTTCCTGGGAGGTTTCAAGGTATCAAACGCTTTATTAGACATGTCATCTGATACTTGCTTAATTAAACCACATTCAAGACCAGATCATACCAATTTGATTTCAGCTAGTTTGACAACAGGATTAAAGACTAGTATTAGTAAGAAACTGTTAAGAGTTTCAGCTTAATCCTTTACAATAAACTGATGTTGTTGAAAGTTCAGTATAGTCTGATTTGATTTAAAAAATAGGTAAAGTAATTAATTTTACCCATTTAATTACCTGCTGAGTCTCTTTCATTGTCTCCGCAAAAAAAGACCATTCTCAGACCAGCCATTGGTAGTTTGTTCAATTTGTTATTTGCAGAATAGGATAAAAGAAACTCGGCAGCTAAACTTAGTTTGGTAACCAGGCTATTAGCTCAATGCAAAGTTGACATTCTGATTTATTGAAATAATGCAACAGTGCAATACACGTGGAACAGAGGCAGCTGTTGCTGGTGTTGTGTCCCGCACACAGAAACGAATACTGGACAGACAATACTAATTTTCACTTGAGTCTGGTGGGGAAAGTCGTGTAAAGTGCCTTTCCCAAGGGCACAAAGTAGGTCTGGCATGGCAGGACCTCTTGATTCTGAGTCGCGCACGCTGCTGTTGCGCCACATGACCCCGACATTCTAATATCAACTTTGCAAAAGAAAAAAAAAACATGTACCCTACCTGTATTCTGTCATCCCCTCCAAAGGCATGTTGGGTAATTCGTAGTTGTCCTCCTGTTTGATGAGTCCGATGCGACCTGTGACCCCCGGCAGCTGGTAGTCGTTCTTCTGGACGGTCATGAAGTCCATACGCGCAGGTCGGGGGTCGCGTGCAGTGGGCGGGGGGCGTCTGGACATGCGCGGCCGAACTCTGTGATGTTTGAACGTCTCCTGGTAGTGACTGAGTGAGCACTCCCCCAGCTTCCCCTGTATTCCTGTGCCTCGAACTTTCTTGCATCCCTGATTCAGATGGAAGCAGAAAAAATTCATCTTAGCACTTTAATAATCTTTAGCCACTACTTAATTATGAAGCTTTGGCCATCAATGCATACAAGTAAGGACTAAATATATCTTGTTGAAGCTCCTTGATACAAGTGATCACTGTTTTTGTTTATATCAATTATTGGTTCAGGCATATGCAAATTATTGGTAAGCATATGCAACTTTTCATCCACAAATACCACCTGCTTTTTGCCTACCACTTGCTGGCTGTTACATCATGACACTTGTATACAAGCTTTGGACTAAAACTTGTGGAAGTCCCGGCTACCTTGAGCAAGTCAGCAGATTTGTTACAATTACTGTGCCTGCGCGAAGCCCTGAATTTTCTCGGTTTTCGTTGGGTTTTTGGTCAACTTTGGTCAAATTTTGTCTGCTGCAGATGACATCTTTTCCAACATGACATTTGAAAACTATAAATGGAATGTTAACCTTACATATTAATGAGGTTAAACAACCTTATATGAGAATTAGTTCTATGGAAGTGCTATACACAATTTTATTACGGATTTTGCACAGGTGCAGTACGTTCTGCAGACGTGCTCCTACCTTGTGGTGCTTGTGGCGTCCACAGTCACACAGCTCACAGATACACATGATGCCGTCAGGTAACGTCACGTCTGTATCAGCCGTTCCCGGCAGGACTGCAGACTTGTGGCGGGGTTTGGAGCTCCTGGGTGCCATGGCTGTCTGCAAGTCAGGAGTTAAATACATTTGTCACAGTCTGGTACATTTTATGTGTTTCTAACTTAAGTTACTTTAAAAAAGCCTGTGATGGATAAACTTTACCATTGAATCATATAGCTTCTATTTTTTTGGGTTGTTTAGTTCTACTTCATTATCTTTCATTGGCAGACCTGTACTAAAACACAGAATGGATATGGGGGAGTTAATAACTTTCCAGAATATGAGAACCGTTCATGTTCTTCGGAACTAAATTCCAAAGAGCGCCCTATAACGACTACTTTTGGTAGACTTAAAAGTTGTGATGTGTTTCTAAGGACTTTGAAATTACAATGACAGACTTGCATTGATCGTCCAGTTCAATCACGTCAAGGAGCTTTCATCAGAAAAATGAAAGCTTCTTGGTTCAATGGCAGATCTCTAGACACAACAATCAACCTCACAGTAGTAGCATTAGGTTTATCAGGTAGGTAGTATAGTGAACATTTTCTGATTTCAGATTGGCAAACCCCTAAGACACAACAACCAACCTCACACTGATATTTTGTAAACAAAGAAGATCAAGTTTCATGGTTGCTACACATGTACACACAACACAACAACATCGCAGGCTCATAATGTCATCCAAGCCGACATGGCTCTTTTAAGCAATATTGCAATATTTTAGCGGTATCGTAAGGAAATAAAAGTAGGGGATAATGCACTGCTAAATAATGATAGGATTACTGAAATACAGGCCGTATTTGCGTGGCTGGAGTTAGGAAGCACTCGGGTGTAAAAGGCCACGCCAGGAATTGTCACGCTTCAATACTTTTGCCTCTCGAAATGTTGTTACCACTTGACTATGATGTCATTATGTTCCTCTCTCGCAACTATCACCTTAACGACAATCTTGAAGTCATTAACACCGATACATTATCGTAAAACTCAAAAAGAGTGCTAGGGTGACTTGAGTACTAAAAGAAATATGGCCCCCCTCCCCACAGCTCCTTTCATTCATCACGCAAACCAAACACGCAACAAAAAGTATCATCGGCACCTGTTGCAAATCTCTCCTTACCACGGAACAGAAGTTTGTTTTACTTTGTCGTCTTATCGCTCTTTTAACGTGCTGCCGAGTGGGAATTTACAACTTACCTTTCAACAATAGTCGCTGTGTGGAAAGCGGGATTTAATTAGGTCCACCTGTACCCGCAGTTGTTGTGCTGGGGCCTCGCGGGTGTTTACAATGTAACCATAGCAGCTGTCGCTGTAATACAGGTCAGGGTTGCTAGATGTCGCTAGTGAGCATGTAAACAACAGCATCTAAAACTTTTTGGGGAGAGGAGATTGATGCTTGGTGATGGCCAGAATCTAACAAACGTGATATTTATGAAATATAGACAAGTTATCACGAGTTATTACGACGTGATCGATCTCTTCGCAAACATTCAGTAACTTTACACCTGTTGTACCTGCAATGTAGACTAAAACTGCAAGGCGGCGCGCGTGAGCTGCATATGCGTTGGGAGTCTCGCGAGAGTTCGAGGGAGACTGATGACGTAACGTGGCGGGTGGTTTGTAAACAGCAAACATCTCGAGCGTGAGGAAAGTGGTGAAAATTTGTGGATTTTCATGAGTCTCTCGGACGATTACCTTTTCTTCAAAGTAGAAAATGTGCACATTTCAGGTAGGTGATCCATTTCCTGTTGTAAATGTGGGTACGTAACATGTCTGTCACGTTAGGAAAGTTCTTTTTTCTGAAGTGAATTGAGGAAAGGGGGAGGGGGCTGTTAAAAGTCAGTACGTAGCCCCCGGCAACAAGACAAGCGAAACCACTGTAGATGTAACAGTTGGGGGTTTATAGGCGCTACCAACTGACCCAGCCAAGGGGTCTAGACCTTTTGGCTCACTCAGTTAGAGCGTCTGCCTGTGGCCCGGGAGCCGTGAGTTCGAATCCGGCCCGGGACCAAGGGGTTTCTAGTGTCTCCTCCTGGTTTCTTACATAGATACCAAATTTTGTTTGTGTTTTGAATTTTGCACTAGACATATGTGCTACATGAACTGAGGCAAACCCTCTAAGATTTATGCATGTGTGCGTGTGTGTGTACATGCACTAGGACATGTCCGGACGCGGACAAATTTGGTTCTATTCTATTTTTCACCAAGGAGGTTTAAAATCAACCTCCTTGTTTTCACTGAAACATTTTTTCCAAAAAAGATTACAGGACAGTGACGATTGTTTTGCCTGTAAATTTCGAATTCTATAGACTGGCTATATTCAAATCATATTTCTGTGGGCTTTCTAGGTCTACTTGTTTCAGACACTTTTTTCTAAAAACTACCTACAAATGGCACAATTTTGAATAAGTTTGGTTCACGTTGATTGGTCCCATCACAGTGATTGGTACATCTATTTGTCTTGAGAACACAGTAATTGTTTCTTTCTTTAGTTGACGCATGGACAATAGGTTATGTTTTCTGGACAATAGGTTATGTACCATTGTTTTCATATTTGCATGACAGTTTTCAAATTACACATTGTCTAGACAATCTAGACAGGGATGTCTGTCAAACCCTGCCTTTTGTTATTGTTTCATTTATTAAATTACTTGTCAATCAAGGTTACAAATGTGTGAAATGAAGCATTTTTGTGTCATCAGCAAAGATTAGGATTTAACAATCATACATGTAGTAGTAGCTTGTTTCATTTGTTCCAAGTAATAATAATTGCATTAGAGTTGAGTGTATGTTAATAATGCATATACTTTGCAGCCAGTGACCAACTTGTTCATATGATTTTTGTGCTCGCATATGATTCTTATTTCTAAAACATGATGTTCTAACATGTGCATGTATTTAAACCTGAAATAAAACATGTATAAGGAGGTTAAAAATCAAAGCTCCTTGATCCAAACAAAACAAAACTAAACAAAACAAAACAAAACAGTTCTTCAGCCTCTACTAGTACATTTCCACTGGTACCACTGTGTATTCAGTACTGCACTCAATGGCACCATAAGTATATCAAAGACTAGCATATTATAATATAAATGTCCTGAGAGAATATGTAAAATTCCATACCTTCCCGTATTTTTGTTCTTTGTACACCACTGTATTGAGATTAAAACTCATACAAATTTGCACTAGATGGCTGTATTCCAATACTAAGTAATTAATAGGATAAAGTGCCGTGGCAGACGGTGTCGGAAAAGTTTTTAAAACAGTGTCAATGTCCTTCAGTTCTTCTTGTTCTCTTTCAAGTAATGATGACACCCTTCCCCCCAGATCTGTATGACTGGTCGGACCCCAAACAGAAGGGGAAGTACAGCCGACCCAAGCTGAAGCGGCGTGAGAGCGCGCCGTCAGGCTCGCTGGTTCACATCAACGAGGAGAAGATCGCTCTGTTCCGACACGGGGAGACGGTGTACGCCATACAGGAGAGATGTCCACATATGGGTGAGTATACGGCTGGTATTTTTCAGTTCCTTCTTCAAGTTCTTGTATCACTCACACCATAAAGGACCCCTAATAGACTTCAATAAGTGAGGTACAATGTACTGTTGGGATATTTAAATTACTAAAGGTGTGGTTCTCCTCAAACACGGAAATTCCCCTACCTAAAGCAAGATACTGTACAGTGTACTCATTTTTACCGAGTCGAGTGTGGAAATAGGTGTTAAGTGTCTGTCCCTTAAGGACAGCCCTGCCAGGGATTCGAACCCAGAACCTTCAGATTCTGAATCAACAACCCTAAGCCACAAGACCACATTGCCATTTTTATCTGACCATGGATGATAGCTGAACTTAAGTCAATTGACAACTCAAGTTATGACTGCATTAGGTTCATTGTATTTGTAGCCTTCTGGCAGGACTAGAGGGTAGACAGTCTATCTCTTCAACTCTACAGTATTGTACGTCAACTACATGGGTAATATGTACTATGTATTCACATTAGTCTATGTGAGTCTTTGCTGTTATTCAGCTAGATAACTATTATATAATAATGTTAGAATAGTTTCATGTTGAATTCTTATCTCCCATGTTCAGGTGGACCCCTGCATCTTGGTGACATTGAGGAGCTTCCAGACAAGACTCTGTGTGTGCGATGTCCCTGGCACAGCTGGAGATTTAGCCTGGACACAGGTGAGTTGGGGCTCTGCATGTATATAGAGAGAGCATGGATCCATGCATACATGGCCTAGAAATAGATGTAAGGCCATGTTGTTTTGATTGTGTGGATGACGTCCTCTGGAAACCCCGAAACTGTTGCAAGCGGGCAAATAAAAAAGTTTGACCAAAAAAAAGTTGCCTTCATTATGAAGTCTTCGTGATCAGAAAGGTTAAACAAATGACTAAACACACCATGGAGTTAACTCCATGAACACACAGAGCACGGTATGGCGAATAATAGACTTTTCATGTTCATTTCTTCACAATTTCTTCTCTTCCTTTGTAATTGATATTGGCATGCTATAACAGATACTAGTATCATTTTTCAATATTTTGTGCAGTATCATTATTTGCTGCTTTTCCAGATGCTTTGTACACTTTACAGTTGCTTTGTATACTTTACAGTATGGTTAGAATTTTTTTGGAAATGGACAAAAATATATGCACATACATTGTACATTTACATTGTAATCAAATCAACCTGGCCTAGTGGAATAAATGTTTAAAATGTACAATAAGACCCATAGTAGGTAAGTACAACTATGTTTATGTCAATTATGATACATATGTATCTTTCTTTTTCATCCGTGTTCAAAGTTGTCAAAGGACTTCTATAGATAACTAAAATGATTTGTTGGATAAAGTCTAAACTAATTAAATTTCCCACCATGGTCTGAATGTGATTGACAGGTCATGCAGTGCTTCCAAAAAAAGACAAGGTTGCCATCACGTTTCCTGTGAAGGTGGATACAGAGGGTAACATCTCCCTGGGATTCCTGGAGTTCGCCAGCGACTACTTCTCTGGAAGCGGAGAATTCTGAGGACAAGATGAAGGAGAAAAACAGAACACTACGAGACCCAATCTCATGTCAAAATCCATCACTCTCTCCTGGAATGATAGCTGTCACCCTCGGGTGGGCAGCTAAAGGAGAGTTTTTTTCTCAATAAACCTCCTCCTTATTAAACCTCATAGAGATGCAGGGCTCAAAATTCATTTTTGGGAATAGGTGCACTGGTGCACCCAACCTAAAAAAATTGCGTGCACAAGAAATATTTTAGGTGCACCATATAAGATGAAATATTGTCAGCAAAAACTGATGTTTTTTTCATTTCTCAAGAAAAGTGCTATATCAATGATTTTCTGACACTTGTCACATGTTAAGAATATGTTGTATACTACTATTATATTTACATCTTTACAGATGTATACCTATGAAAATATTTGGGTGCACTGGTGCACCCACATAAAAATGGGTGCATAGGTCTAAATTTGGGTGCACTAAGGTGCACATGCACCCAGTATTTCGAGCCCTGGGATGAAAATGTGTACTCAGTCGCTTACTGAAAAGCCATATTTATGTACATGTAGTAGAAAATTATATACTTCACCAGACTAGTGTGGAACTGTGGAATTTCTTTTGTGGAGGAGAGTATCGGCAAGTAAGTGTAGAAATTACACTGGAAACTTGGTAATGGAAAGCAGTTATGTATTTTTTGCTCAAATAGATAAACATACACATACATGTACTAAGTCTTGTAACACGGGGTATTAAGAAGGAGAAGACTGCCTCCTATGTTTTTGTCATCTTAGTCTTACCCAAAAAAGATGGAGGTATGTCATTTGTTTGTGGGTATCTGTGCTCAGTGCTTTTAGATTACATATCTGTAACAGTTTACACTGATAAATTTTACACAGTATGAATATTGTGTATTGGATCAGCTTTTAGGAAAGTATTTTTATTTTCCTTATTGTTATTAAACAATGTCAATACTGACATTTGCAGAGGATATTTTCACAATCAGACACAGTGATTGAAAATTGATGAAACAGTATTACAGTACATGCATTTAGTTTTTATATCATTCAGTCACACATACAGAAAATGTGCAATATTATGTATAGTACCGCATAAGAAGTTTTTGCTCGTTTTTAGAGTGTTAAAGTTTGATACGGTGCAGCGGTGACATCTGTGAATAGACTTTAGGTGATACAGTTACTATCTAAACTTGAGGGTTGTATATAGACCTTTTTACTTTTATAATACTCTTTTTTTGAAAAGTGTCTTATACATGTATACAATGTAGTTTAGAAGTAAACCATTGTGTTTATCATGACAATTGTTATATTGCTAATATTAATAAATACATGTACCTACAAATGCTTTAGAGAGGATAATTCACAAGATATTTTATCTGACAGAAATTATGTTGCTTTGTTTCTCATTTAATGAAACAATTGTAAATAGTAGTGAGACATTTTGTTTACATTCTGTTTGTTTGTTTGTTTTGTATATTTAATAGCCAAAAAGTATTAGTGTCTTGAAATAAACTATTTTGGAAGAAGTTTTCTAGGGTGGCCTGTAGCTTCTCTTCTGTAAGGTTTGAACCACTCACACCGGTAAGGTCCCTTACTCTTTTCTATAAGTGCGGTGGGTTTTTTAACTTGCGTGGGGTGTGGCTCTCCCCAAACGTACACGGGACCTCCACTTAACATCCTATCTGAGGGACGTCCCTAACCGAAGCTAGGTACTCATTTCCACCTGAGTGAAGTGAGGAAAGTCGTGTAAAGTGCGTTTCCCAAAGGCACAAGATCGGTGACATGGGTAGGATTCGAACCCGGGACCTCTTGGTCCTGTGCCGAACACACTACCATGTCTTGTGCTCGCTAATTCGAAGTTAGTACAAAACCTGTATGCAACTGACAAAATGCACCGGCCTGTCAGTAGCTGATGATGGGGATGGAATGTAACTTAAGTTTGACATTGGGGGTGTGACCTATAAGACAGAGACACCTTGTAAGGAGTTGTTCTGTCTTAACAAATATATCAGGTAAAATACTTCTACCAATCAGTACAAAAGAATGACAAGCAATATTCTATTTCTATATTTTTATTGAGGATAGAAGCAAGTTCCCAAAAGCAGCAAGCTGTGGCGCATAAGCATATATCATCAAATATACCTTTACCAATATCATAAGTAATTGATATCTCTAGTGCTAAATAAGAATTTAAATTTTATATATATCCTGTGTTATGTTTCACCTTACAACCGTTACTTTTAGATATTCTACAAATATATATGTCTCCCTTGTATACTCTAAATTAATTCAAGCACTGCACTGGTGTGTGCTTCATGTACATGTAGTCTACATATTGCTTGTAGATATTTTATGTTTCTATAAGTATAACTCTGGTTTTGATATTCCCCAAACTGATTTGTATGTGTTGCATAGGATGACTCTCCAGTGTGCTGTGATGTTACTTTTAGATATTCTACAAAGTACATGTTTCCATTGTTTACTCTAAATTAATTCAAACACTGCACTGGTGTGTGCTTCATGTAGTCTATATTGGTCGTAGATATTTTATGCTTCTGTAAGTATAACTCTGGTTTTGATATTCTCCAAAATGATAACAAATCAAACCCCAATGGAAAGTACATGTGTATGTGTTGCATAGGACAACTTTCCAGGGCGCTGTGATGTTTAATAATATGTTCTTTACTAAACTCGTCATTGTTTTTTTTTTGTTTCAATGATGTAGATAATGATGTTTTCCTTATGGTGTTAGACTTATTATGAATAACTATCCTGGTGTATATATCTGATGTATATATTTCCAATCGCATAAGGTTTATAAATAACATGACTGTGTAAAGCGTAAACTATTATACTTTAGCTTGAGTGAAGTTACATCCATTGGTCTATGCTTTAAACATTTCTTATGCTTGTACAATCTCTAACCAACTTTTGTATAGTATAGTATAGTATAGTATAGTATAGTATAGTATAGTATAGTATAGTATAGTATAGCCATAAGAGTAGATTGAAATACAGATTCTTGGCATTGCTTACTGAATATGTTATTAGTTTTGAATCACAGTGATGAAGCAAGTGTTGAAAAACTAAACTGTCTACATGATCTTCTTTCATCAGGTTACAATTAATTGTTTTACTGATCTGAACATAAGGGTGTATGTTTTACACTATCACAGGTTGATGTTTTACTATCTCATGTCCATGTGAAATATCCATATACACTTCAGCAGTGCGAAGGTATAGAATTACAAATGTAGATGTGTTAGCACTGATATTGTTGATTTTCTTGCTCATGTGTGATTTTCAAAGGAAAAGGAGAATCAAAGTTTCTTAGTTGGCTTGTACGCATTTCTTGAGTAATGTTTGCATTTGGCAGCAATGGTCGCAGTAATATTTGCGCAAAGTAAGGAGATACACGAGTGTACGTTTAAGATATCCCCTTGAGATTTAGTTGGTATAACAGCAAAAACATTATCCACAATTTTCCTATGAGCTCAGTACCATGTACTATGTACTAGAATTAGCAGTGTGTTTTAAAATGCTTGATTTGTATGAGTTGTAGCTGAAGAAACTTGTTGATCTGTATTGACCATTAACAACTTTTGGTTGAATTTGCGTTCAAATGACTTTTTGGAACCGACTTTCCCTTTAAACTCAGCCTGCAGACATATCTTATTGGTTTGCTAATGTACTTTGCTCATGGGTTTGTGGACTTAATGTTAGTCCCGTCCTCTTAACGGGTCCTAAACACGAGAATCTCAATCCAGATAGTATCACCGACAACTTCAATGGTGACAATGACAATCATGGCGCGAGCGGCAGGGTCAGGGTCTACGACTTCACGCTCAATGATGGGGAAGCAAAGGGCTGGGGGGATGCGGTCCAAGTCAAACCCGCCTCCCAGCTCGGTGCGCGGGGGATAGGGGCAGTTGGCGTCCGGTCCGTACGTAACCTCGTCAAAGTCCACGTCGTCGCGCGAGTTGGCATAGTCTGTTTCCAGGTTTGACAGGTACCGGTTGAAGAACAGTGGGTAGTTGTCCCTGACCACTGCGACGGCGGAGCTTGGCAGCTCGACTACAAAGAAATATAGAAAAAAAACATTGCAAAAACACGACTATAGCTAGGTCACAAAAATCAAACATCTATTAACTGTGGGTCACTAACGTGGAATTGGTAATCACACAATATCTCCAGACACTAGAGAAAATACAACAATAGTAGAATATACAAAACTGTTATGTTTGGGATGGATCTATATCTTTTGCCAAGTTAGTCTTTCCTTTATATACTTGTAACTGTTTAATATGCATGCTACAGGTTGGGGATATTGGATCAATCAAGACAGCCATTATAGCTTTGTCATAATGTAACACCCATGTAGTGCACAATCCCTTGATTTAATCAGATTTCATAACTCGTAATTTTATGAAGAAATGATTGACACTTGTACACATTAGGCATGATAGTAAACAGAACTTTACTGACATTTGCTGATGCAGAATAGGCTATTCTTTCAAAATGTGGTCATTCCGTGAACTATTGGAAAATTTTCCTTGATCAACAATTGAAACTCACCACCATACTATCCCATATAGCTTAGACAATTTGAAAGTGTATTATGACTACTAGTACTGGCAAACACACCTGGTAGCCCAACATTTGGGTCGAAGTTCCTGGTTTCTGGTAGGAACAGTCCTGTGATGACGCCTTCACCGCTGGCGTAGCATACAGCCCAGCGCTCAGGTTGGATGATGATGCCGGAGATGTTGGGGAGGTTGGCGAGTTGGTTGCCGTCATACCCTGCGTACAGGTCCAGGTCTTGGCGGAAGGAACCCATCCCAAGCTCCGCAGAGATCTCAGGGCCCAGTGTGGCCTCGAGATTGTCGTACGCACTGACTGCGGCTCCGTAATCAAAGACTAAAAAACAAGATTAAGTAACTGTATGCCGGTAAAACATTATGTCTTTGTGAACAATCTTTACAAAACCACTCAGTGCAGATCTCATTATCTACTTCAGAGTTCCATTTCATGTACATGTCGTATTGTTGATGGCCTGCCTTGATCACAATGTTATGATGCAACCATTTACCACAATCAGACTGTGACATTTTACCTAAATATAGCCTAATTTGCATACTTTGAATGTCTGAATTTACATTACATTACATTACAATGCGAAGAGGATATGTATCACATTTCTCTATCAATCCTGCAGAGGATATGCTACAGGCACAACACATGCATCCTGGTAATTAATGTACTCTATATTCTGTCTACCGATACCATTGATACATTTGATATAAAGGTAAAACTTGACAATATAAGTGCAATACAAAGTTCTCGACGTATAAAAAGGGATTCAGAGCTTCTTCAAAGTACAAGTGTATGATGGACAAAACGTAGCTTACCTGTAGGCAGAGGGGTTGTTGGAGGGCATTCTAGAAGAAAAAGACATGCATGATATTTATACAATCTGCTTCACCAAATGATGACAAATAGTCGCGTTGCTAATAACATCAACAGTGACAATAGTGACTATATTACATCTACTCGTACATCACAGTACATAAAACAGTACATAAAGGTGTGGTAAAAGTGATAACATACCCATGTGACAATTTCTAAAGAAACATTCTGATAGTCATCAATAATAACCATAAACAATATGAAATGTATCATTTATGAGACGATGGAAAGACACAATACAGGACTTCTTCGTTCGCTCCTAAGACAAAAATCCTTACTTACGGGGCGCTTCACAGATGTAACAGTTCTCAACACTGCAAAGAAAAACACATTGTCAATCATTTTTCTGTACCGACTGCTCAAGGAAAGCTGAAGCACGATTAAACACTTATAGTACAGAAGTAAAATGTGTTCCCTACTCAGGTGGGGTGTTGAAATCCACATCTAAACTGTTCGGGTTGATCCAGTATCTGTAAAACAAAAAGGACACAGGTGATAGTGACTGGAATCTACTTTTCTGTTTTCCAGTAGCTGTAGTGATCACTTAAGCCAAGCTGCACAATTTAGACGGTTTGAAACAATAACAGAATTCCCAGAATTTGACCTACAGCAACAGGTAAATGTAGCTACATTTTGGTCACTAGTTAATATAAACAGAAGGGAGTCTATGGTTGGAATGCATGGCTAATGATTGTATCTCAACCTATGTTTTCATTACGTAGCATGTTACCATCTTTCACAGAAGAGAATTCAACAAAGATATGACGAAACTTACGGCACAGGTCCACTAAGTCCAAACATAGCGTCTTCCCTGTCTTCCGCGTCGTCGATCACAACTAGGGAGCTACCTGGAGCTTTGTACATACAGTCGTACATAGCCATTTCGAAGGTTCTCTCCGTGGTGGAGGCACAGAAGCACCTCCCGTCAACCTCTTCAAACCCATCAGGGCACACTGAAACACAAGTGTATCAAGTTGTATGTCTCCAGTCATTTCCAATTACCGTTTACCCCCAACATATGCCTTTCTGGGGGGCTGAAAATAGCTAACAGACGTTTTAAGACCTGTATGAAAAAAATATAAACATCCGAGCGTATATGTTCCTTCCAAAATGTCACATCAACTGGCATTAAAATGAAAAAATGATATGACGCCTTTAGCAAAGAAATTTTTATCAGAGCAGAGAGAGGAAAACAACAAGAAACATGAGAAAAAAATGATTTCTCCGAACCCATATCATCATAAATACAGTATATACTCTAAATGTACAGGAATTAAACCTTACTTTGCACTGTCAGTGCCGGTATTGTCAAAAGCACCAAACAGAAGAGGAATTGCCTGTTCATCTGGAATATCAGAATAAAGACCAGTTATATCACAATAACATATTCTCCTGAGCCGAGAAAAAAACGCCACAAGTCTGTTTACTTTGATTTCATACTGTACAGTACAAGAAGGCAGATACGATCAATTTAATATTTCATAAAAGTTGGCAAATGTTGATATATGTACGAGTACTCCCTGGCGTTGCCGCGTCCCGGATGCAACTGTGCACGCATACTGTTTACAGGTCACAAGTGTCAGTTATGATATAGATATTCATATAAAGTATGACTTCATTTGCATTATATCGATCCACGGGGAGAATGGTTTTCTGGCTCGGATTACACATTAGACCACAGAAAGTAAATTCTATGGATGACATCCTCCGCAGACTCCAAATATAATGCGATAGGGCGAGAAGAAAAACAAGGCGGGCTAAAAAAAAACAAGATTCCTACATTTTCAAATTTTGACATCATAAACTTTATTAAACAAGATAGGGTATATTGGATACATATATTGGGTAGGTATACTGACAACTATTACAACATCCATTTGTCACTGAAACAACTTTGAAAAACAAGTTTTCAATCATTGTACAGATGGTTTTGATTCAGTGAGAACATCACATACATGTACACACAGCCACCACCACATAGAAAAAGGAATGAAATACTTCACTGCATCAAAGTGAAAGACAAAAGAATAAATCAGAGCCTTGTCTTGTCTCCTCTCTTCATATTTATCTGCCATCCATGTTCCGGCATGGCAACAGACATCTTTGCCCATTTTCGGCATGTTGACTACTGTCAGTGGGTAACATAAATTCTTGTTTTTATTTCCAAAATCAGGCAAAAATTATTGCTGGTGCTGATCGATGTTATCCATAAAAATTACTTGTTGTTGCCTTAGCCTCGTCAAGTTCAACTTGACCCCACGCAGCTGTAGCTGTGGTGCTAAGTCTGAGTCAGTCGCACACTACCTCCTCCACTGCCCTCTGCACAAGGACGCAAGGCAAACACTTGCCACCGCTGTACGTAGCGTTGTGGATCAATCCCTCTCCACCAACATGCTCCTCAATGGTCTTCCAGGTCACAACCTCTCTACAAACCAAAACATTTCGGCCGCTCTTCAGGGCCTACATCCTGCAAACAAAACGTTTCTAAAGTGTCCTTCCACCTGTTCATTTGATCTAGTGCACTTGTCTATTATTTCCACTGTACGGATTCTCGACCTCTGACCTCCAACTAAGTTTACCCATTTTAATTAGTATTGTAAATATAATAACATATATGTTAATCTACAATGTATGTATAGTCATGTAGTCATGTCTGTCTGTGGCCCCCGCCATCAGCTCTGCTGCCAGGGTGGCCACTGTATTGTGAATGTCGCAATTTTCGAAAATAAAATAGCCTGGTATCTCCTTCTTCTGCTGGGACCCCGATTAGCCGATCGGGAAATGTTCTATTTCCTATCGAACGGTAAACTTTTTTAAATCTACAGTTAATACTAGTACTATCTCATTTGAATTTTCCAGCAACAATTTTAATACATGGTATTTTCTTGTCTTTCTCGTCAAACTATATTCAAATTGAGTTTTACTGTAACACACAGACTAGAGTTGCCGGGGCCGCAGGAAACCAGAGAAATTATGTAAAGCCCCATATTCATGGTAGTGTTGCGCGCGCCCAGGTTTTACTGCCCTGCTTTCCTCCCTGGAGACTGGAGTCGACTGGGCGTCAGGTCTTTGGTAACCCAGAGACAAGAGTTGACTGGGCGGCATATCTTGTAAGAGCCGAGAAACTTTCTGAAGGCCCACTCCGTAGTCTCTCGCGCGCCCAGGTTTTGCTCGGCCTGTTTGTCTTCGAGAAAACTAGAGTTGACTGAGTGAAGACCAACAGTACTAGCGCACTTACTAGGTTTTACTGGGCCTATTTTCAGGGAGGTTAGTTGACTGGGCGGCATATTTTGTAAGAGCCGAGAAACTTTCTGAAGGCACACTTCGTAGCCTCTCGCGCGCCCAGGTTTTGCTCGGCCTGTTTGTCTTCGAGAAAACTAGAGTTGATTGAGTGAAGGCCAACAGTACTAGTGACTAGCGCACTTACTAGGTTTTACTGGGCCTATTTTCGGGGTCCTCCCGGTCGGCACTGTCTTCGAAGACCAGAGAAAATGAGCGAAGGCCCACGGTAGTCTTGTCTTCACCCATATTTTTCTTGGCCTGTTACGTTTTTCTTTTAGGGAGGCCAGAGTTGACTAGGCGGCAGATCTTGGCAGACTCGAGAAACTGTATGAAGGCCTGTGGTAGTCGTCCCTGTGTCTAGGTTTTACTGGGCCCGTTTTCCTCCAGGAGGCTAGCGTTGTCTGAGCGGCGAATCTTGAGAGACCCGAAAAACTGGCCAATAATGTTTTGCGGATAGTCAGATTTACAGGACTTGTTTTCTTCCAAAGAAGCTAGATTGGCCAGGGTGGCATGCCGGCTGCTACATAATGGGAGACAATGGGAACTGACATTGGCTGATTTTTCTATAACCTGGAAGCCAGCGGTCATGCCGATCGCGTCGGCCGACGAATGATATTCTACCATGCCATCCTTTACTACTTTTTCGTGCAATATCGAAGTCAAATTGGATCGGAACAGGTTAATTGTCGTCAGCAATTGAGTCATAAATGCCCTGACAATGAAAATTCAACAACTTTGATAAGAGAAGTACATCCGAGATGTTGTGATAACTTATCAACCCAAGGCAATAAAAGATAAAGTAGTGGTCAAGCTTAAAACACGGTAATGATTATAAAGATTTTGAAGGACCAACATGCAAAGAAAGCATTGAGATAACTACCCACACCTGTTCGAACGAACATTTAGTTTAGATATACCTAGGACCTGTATAATCGTACCTACTAGTAGTAGATTTTAGCTTGGATCAGATTATTGCACGTATCTCCAGGTTCGATAATCCAGTTCTGGGCTGGATGACAGATAAATAGTTCCATGAAAATTGACTATAACTACTTTGTACAAGTATAGCAGGCCAAAAAAGTCAACAACACTGAGCACATGCAGAGCTCACATTAGAAAGATATTAGAACTCACCATGGATATCTCTTCGCTGTACGTTTCTGGATTGATGATGAAATATTGTCTAATTTGTGACACACTTTGTGCCGTCAACTGTTTTACTGTGACTGAAGAGTCGGTGAGAAGACTGAGGACGTGTCGACCTGTGCGGCTTGTCTGCCGGGCTGTGTCAGTGGTCCTCGGGTGTCAGATCTGTTCTGGGCTAGCTCACTTTCCGCCAGGACTTTATCCAAAGCCGGGAGAGGGTTGCATACGTGGCAATAACCAATAGCATCCTTTCTCTTGTTCAGCTCCGTGTTTAAAAATAGATGTATCCATGGCAACCCCTGACGCCCCCTCCTGAAGACGAACAGACATGGTAACGTCAGCTCTAGCGACACGTGGATGTCCACGCACACATTATTTCTCCTCAAAGTTTATCACCTACAGAATCTATACCACGTACCTACCGCGGTATGACTATCAATAAAGATCAAGCATGTGTGTTTGGCATATCTTGCTTTTCTTTAATAACTTGAGGAGAAAATAATGGTCAAGATATCTCAAATTGTTTTAACATGTCTCTGACAGGTAAAACCCGTATTGATGAAATTTTGTATAACTAGTACTCATTTATTAACAAATATATCCTACGCTAATATTAACCATGTGAACCGGGCTCCCAAAACTAACCTATCCTATGCGTACTACTTCTAAATGGTGGTAATCTTTGATGGCAGTGATATGAGTGTCTAGTGTTGTAAAATTCGTTACCTTGTTGTAGTGTGCTCAGACATTTATGAAGAGGGGCCATTTGATGACACTAGGGCATAATGTGTAGCTGCAGTCTGACAGTCTAAAATTTGTTTTGTCTCGGACATACAGGCGGATGTACTGTCTTTGAAGTACCGCACAGTCTGCTCGTCTGTGGACATCATTCAATATTTGCAAGAATATTGAAGTATTCTTGTTTCAGGAATTTCTCTAATATTTGCATCAACTTCGCTCTGGCGAATTCATCAAAACATGCATATGGCTTTATAATCTCAGACAGAATTTTAAAACAGGCAGCAAAAGATCAAAATTAATGTGTCCACCTGACAGCTGATATTGCAATGATTTATTATTCTAGATCGATATTTGGCTGGGTTTTCTTAATCTGTACTATAGCCAGACAACATCTCAACCTACAGGTATCTGTGATTATATTCACGATGCAAATGCTAAAATGTACAAAGTTGAGTGTTGCTCTACCAACCCCACGTCCCCAAGGCATCAAAAAAGACTAGACTTTGGACTAGATTGTGTTTCTGAGCTTAGTAACATTCTAATGTACAACTGTCAATACATTTCTTGTATCTCATGTAAAACAAATGTCTGTGAATAAAAGAAGTTTACTATTCAATCATTTACCAACCTGATGAAATTACTTACGGGCATTTCGTATATCTGTCATGTATATCTTATATCTGTTATGTTACACGGTGGATAAAGCAGTATTTAAAGGTATGTAATTAATGTCTTATGTAGCTTCAGTCTGACAATCTAGAAAGTTGTTTTTTTCTCAAACATACAGACGGATGCACTGTTTTCAATGTACGTACAAATATTTTTGTTGTTAGTGAATATGGATAAAGTTACACCGTGGATGAAACAGTATTTGAAGGTATTTGATGCTCGAGCGCTCAGACAATTTATCAAGTAGGGTCACTCGAGGATACTAGTAACAGGACATGATATGTAGCTTCATTATGACAGTCCAGAGAGTTGTTTTTGTCAGAAACATACAGACGGATGCACTGTTTTTGATGTACATACAAAGATTATTGTTCTTAGTTGATAAGGATAAATCTACAGTCCAGAGTTGTTTTAGTTTAAAACATACAGACGGATGCACTGTTTTTGATGCACTAAGGATAGCGAATTCTGCTTGTCTGTAGACATCATTTGATATTTACATTAACTCCGCTTCAAAACATCGTTTTATTGTTGTCGGTAGAGTTCTGAGAGGCAGCAAATATAGTGGATATTAAAGTCTGATAGCTGTTATCAAAATGCAATATTGCTCTGGATCGATATTGGGCGATATGTGTGTATCGCCGCAAAACTACGGCCATCTATTAATTTGGTGTACTAAATTTTCTAAGTTCACCTTGGCCAGAAACCCGTCAACCAACAGATATCTGTGATCACATTCACACTGCAGATGTTCAATGTACATGTACAATGTTTAATGTTGCTCCACGCCCACTCTTCACAACATCTAAAAGACCGCCGATTCTAGGTATGCTTACTGTAACTTGACGTATTTCGGCAGAGATTTATTTTCGCAGTAGGAGTGGGGAGAATGTTTTTACGGTGTTTTAATTTCGCGAAAAGTCGAAACGACACGGTAGCACAAAGACACATATTCGCGGTGTCATAATTACGCGGAGGAGAGTCACCGCGAAATTTCTAAAATACACCACCGTGAACATTTACAGATGACGTTACTGGGCTACAGTAATATCATTCCTATGTATAACATAACGTTACACTGGGCTACGGTAGTATCATTCCCATGTATAACATAACGTTACACTGGGATACGGTAGTATCATTCCCATGTATAACATAACCTTACACTGGGCTACGGTAATATCATTCCTATGTATAACATAACGTTACACTGGGCTACTGTAATATCATTCCTATGTATAACATAACGTTACACTGGGATACGGTAATATCATTCCCATGTATAACATAACGTTACACTGGGCTACGGTAATATTATTCCTATGTATAACATAACGTTACACTGGGATACGGTAATATCATTCCTATGTATAACATAACGTTACACTGGGATACGGTAATATCATTCCAATGTATAACATAACGTTACACTGGGCTACGGTAATATCATTCCCATGTATAACATAACGTTACACTGGGCTACGGTAATATCATTCCTATGTGTAACATATCGTTACACTGGACTACTGTAATATTATTCCCATGTATAACATAACGTTACAACTGACAACACCTTTATAGCGGTACAGAGATATCCCTCCGTCCTGTGGTGATCTATTGGTACCCTTGTCCTAACAACACACGGCACGTAGGGGAAGTATTTAAAGATATTCGATCAATGAGATATTGCAGTTTTTAAAAGCGTCACTAGGTGTGTTAAGTTCGACGGTCGACTGTGTAAGTGTGCTGAACCCAGGTAGGATACTAGTAACTTAAAAAGTAGACTCAGAAACACGTTCTGTTTGTTCTCGTATAAAATTCAATGTGTTTGATCATTCGCTGCTCTAATCGACAACCACAAAATTATAAATCAAAGCCAGGCACAGTACAGTGTGGAACAGGAAGTTAACGTTGTCTTACTGTGAGAGCACGCACACAACTAACCGGGAAACATCTCTCACCCCTGCGGTTTCTGGTACGTATACCATCTACTTTGCTCGCTGATTCAGTGTCATCTGTAGTGGTCCTGGGGAAAGGTCGAAAGTACTACCTGTGTGTATCTGCACAAATCAGTCAAATGCAAAGTTTTGAAAATTATGAGTCTCTGTGTTCGTCTCGAAGGAGAGATACGAACTATTATTGATCGGTGTTACCAGGATGTCATATGACGTCAGTACCAACATGGCGGGCCGACGGGGCTAGCCCGTAGATTTCTTTTGGCAAGAAATGATGTACCTTTTATATAAAACCAACCATTTTAATAATACAAAGAAGGTCATCCACATGGTAATTTGTATCCACCGTACATGTCAGTAAGGCACAAGAGGTCAGATTCTGATATAATGTGATGTTTACTGCTATAATAAAGCGTGAGAGGCTTCCCGATTTAAATATACCGCCCGCATGATCTACGCGTGTACCCATCATCCCGTTCACGAGGGTCTTCGTTTTTGTACCCTTCTTTGTTTTTATATATGTAAATTAATACCAAGATTCGAGAATGTAGAGTGTTAAACACTTATCACAAAGAATGAACTGATTACAGTGTCAAACATGGTCATCTTATTTCTTATTCGGGCCTAAACCATTATATTAGGAGTTAAGGCCATCTCAATTCGAGGGTCACTTTATATAATGTGTATGTGTCTTTTGCCTGTGAATTTGACGCTTTTACATTCAGCTGTATGTAACTAAAAAATAAACAAGGGCCTGTCAGTAGTCGATGATCGGGATAGAATGGGCATGTAACTTAAGTTCGTTTGGTCACGTTTGAGGAGTGACCTATAAGACAGACAGTAACGAGTTGTTGATGTTCTAAAAATCTTGAGATCAGCTAAAATACTTGTACCAATCAGTAAAAAAGAATGACAAGCGATATTCTACTTCTATATTTTTATTAAGGAGAGAAGCAAGTTCCCAAAAGCAAGCTGTGGCGTGAGCAAATATCGTAAATATACCATTACCAATATCATAAGTAATTGATATCTCTAGTGCTAAATAACAATATCAATGATGTTCTTCCTTATGGTGTTAGACTTATTATGAATAATAACTATCCTGATGTATATCTGATGTATATATTTCCAATCACATAAGGTTTATAAATAACATGACTATGTTTAAAGCGTAAACTATTATACCTTATAAGGTATACATGTAGCTTATGTGAAATTATGTCCATTGGTCTATGCTTTAAACATTTCTTATGCTTGTGCAATCTCTAACCAACTTTAGTATATATATAGTATAATATAGTAAAGTATAGTATAGTATATTAAAGCAATACGAGTAGATTGAAGTACATTTGAATTGGCATTGATTAATGAATATGTTTTAAATCAGATTTAAATCACAGTGATGAAGCAAGTGTTGAAAAACTAAAGACTGTCTACATGACCTTTCTTCAAGTATGAATCAGGTTACAATTAATTGTTTTACTGATCTGAACATAAGGGTGTGTGTTTTTCACTATCACAGCTTTATGTTTTACTATCTCATATCCATGTGAAATATCCATATACACTTCAGCAGTACAAATTAGAAGGTTTAGAATTACAAATGTAGATGTGCTAAGACTGACATTGTTGCTTTCCTTCCTCACGTGTGATTTTCAAAGGAAAATGAGAATCCAAGTTTCTTAGTTTGCTTGTACGCATTTATTGAATAATGTTTGCGTTTGGCAGCAGCAGCAATAGTCGCAGTAATATTTGCGCAAAGTAAGGAGACACACAAGTGTACGTTTAAGATATCCCCTTGAAATTTAGTTGGTATAACAGCAAAACATTATCCACAATTTTCCAATGAGCTCAGTACCATGTACTGTATACTAGAGTGTGTTTGAAAATGCTTGCTTTATATGAGTCGTAGCTCAAGAAACTGTATTGACACGGTGATAAACAACGTTGGTTGATTTTGCGTTCAAATAACATTTTGGAACCGACTTTCCATTCAAACTCAGCTTGTAGATACGATATATCTCATTGTTTGCTAATGTACTTTGCTTATGGGTTTTTGGACTTAATGTTAGGCCTGTCCTTGAAGGTCGAAAGACGATTATCTATTCGGTCGAAAGGGACCTAAACACAAGAATCTCAATCCAGATAACATCACCGATAACTTCAATGGTGACTATGACAATAGTGCGAGCGGCAGGGTCAGCGTCCGCGACTTCAAGCTCAAGAATGGGGAAGCAAAGAGCTGGAGGGATGCGCTGTAAGCCAAACCCGCCTCCCAGCTCGGTTCGCGGGGGATAGGGGCAGATGGCGTCCGGTCCGTACGTTTCCTCGTCAAACTCCACGTCGTCGCGCATGGTGGCATAATTTCTTCCCAGCTGTGGCAGGTACCGGTTGAAGAACTGTGGGTAGTTGTCCCTGACGGCTGCGATGGCGGAGCTTGGCAGCTCAGCTACAAAGAAATAAAGACAAAAAAAACCACTGAAAAAACACGTCTAGGTCAAAAACATCGAACTGTGGGTCAGCAATGTAGAATTGGTAAATTGGTAATCACACAATTTCTCCAGACACCAGAGCAAATACAACAATTATCATAGAATATACAAAAGTGTCATGTTTGTGATTAGTTGTAGCTGTTTACGCATGCTACAGGTGGTCATTCCGTGAACTATTGGAAAATTTCCCTTGATCAACAATTGACAATCACCGCCATGCTAACCCATATAGCTTAAACAATTTGAAAGTGTATTATGACTACTGGTACTGGCAAACACACCTGGTAGCCCAACATTTGGGTCGAAGTTCCTGGTTTCTGGCAGGAACAGTCCTGTGGTGACGCCTTCACCGCTGTCGTACGGTACAGACCAGCGCTCAGGTTGGATGATGATGCCGGAGATGTTGGGGAGGTTGGCGAGTGGGGTGCCGTCAAACTCTGCGTACAGGTCCAGGTCTTGGCGGAAGGAAGACATCCCAAGCTCCGCAGCGATGTCAGGGCCCAGTGTGGCCTCGAGATTGTCGTACGCAGTGACTGCGGCTCCGTAATCAAAGACTGAAAACAAGATTAAGTAACTGCATGCAGGTGAAACATAATGTCTTTGTGAACAATCTTTACAAAACCACTCAGTGCAGATCTCATCCACTTCAGAGTTCCATTTCATGTACATGCCGTATTGTTGAGGGCCTGCCTTGATCACAATATTATGGTGCAACCATTTACCACAACCAGACTGTGGCATTTTACTGGCACAAACTGTGACATGCTACAAGCAGAACACATGCACCCTAGGCCTGGTAATTAATGTACTCTATATTCTGTCTACCGATAACATTTGATACTTTGATATAAAGATAAAACCTGTGTTAGTTGTGTTAGTGCACAATGTTTAAACAAAGTTCTCGTCGAATAAAAGTGTATGATGAACAGAACGTAGCTTACCCGTAGGCAGAGGGGTTGTTGGAGGGCATTCTAGGACAAAAAAAAAGAAGAAGATAATTTGGATACAGCGTGCTTCATAAAAATGGTAACAAACAGTGGCGTTACAAACAGTGGCGTTACTATGCTAATCATAGATACTCGGTTACAATCTTACCCAAAGATAACCAGCTAGGGACTATCGATTTGAAAAAAAAAGTATTATGTGTTGCTGCGTTGCACTGTACAATGTAGGCTCAACCGTTGGCTGGTTCATCATGGTGTTTTTCTGGGGGTCGCCTTTTTAGTGATGTTGTCTTGGAAACATGACTAGATTATGACGCAGGGGAGGCTTCGTTCATCGTATGTGTATGTACGGTATGGTGGGGAGTACAAACTACATAACCAATACAAGTGGTATTCTCCTCCGTAAAACCTACGCAAAAATTGATGAAAATCAAACACATATATAGCAGCTGTGTTACATATATATCTGTGTGTTTAAAACGCCATAACCATTCAAGCACATTTTGTTACCTGTTATCGTTGTCTGGGTTGTGGCTGCCTCCCCTGATCCTGACCCTGTGGAAACCAAAAATAAATAGATGAATAAAAAGTTATTGATTAATTCAGCTTACATCTCTCAATAGTAGTTGATCTATCAGCAGTCTAAAATGTAGGTCAATTGCATGGTGGGCTCAATAGTAGCAAACGACTGCATATAGATGTACTTGTTGCATGCGTATATCTTTTGTCACCAACAAGGTACCTTACGGCTGTTCGTTCCGCGGATGCCGTTCCAACAATAGCAGCTAACCTGTAATTTCAAATGATTTAATTTTTCTGTGTTGGGAATGGCACCTGACTTGACCGGAGATTAGATTTGTTACCGGTTATTCCGTCTGTATCTGTATAGCCGGTAGAACCATCCATCGGCGTTGGAGGTGTGGTTGAATCCTCTGTAGAATACATGTATTGAGTAAAACAGTTATTGATTAATATTAGAAAATATTAGATCTGCTAATCTATTACCTCCATGAAGGTATTATTTGGTTTGTATCTGTCTGTCTGCCTGTGTGTAAGTATGTGTGTGTGTGTGTGTGTGTGTGTGTGTGTGTGTGTGTGTGTGTGTGTGTGTGTGTCTGCCTTTGTGTGTTTGTGTTTTCGCATACATATGTACATGTGGACTTTATCGATTGCGATGATATTTGGTACGTGGGTAGGTCTTGGGAAGCAAAAGTCAATGTCAACTGTGCACGTGCACCCCCAGGCCGCTGACCCTGGTACTGAATCGGAACTGTTTTTTAAATCTTCTTTTGTTCAGGACATGTTGCGTATTAGGTACGTGTGGTTCTGCAATTTCCGTATCGAAACAACGTACTAGCCTGAGTTAAGATGTAGTTTTGGGCACCTGTGGATATATGACATCATTTCCGTCTCCAAATATCCTTTTAATAAAGGTCTATATATTCAAAGTAAATTGTCGTGCGGCAGTGACTAGTCTATTCCCATAAGTACGGTGAAATTAAAACAATTTTAAATTTAAAATAAAAAAAATTAAATACTTTTTACAGCAGATTTTCACATAAGCCTTGACCGGAAAGCTACCAACGTGTCAATTACATGTTTTTGTCACATATTTTGCGACTAGTTAATACGTTTTCTTATCATGAAGGCGCTGTTACTAATTTTATCGAACATAACCTAAAATACTAGAAGTATTGCGGAAATGTTTTCATTTTCAACAAGATTTGGCATATTGAATGTGGTATAAGACACCATACAAAGAAATTATGTAAATTAATAATGCGCAGTAGTCCATTTCAAGTTGAATATGTAAACAAAATTTCCAATATAACGTGAAACGGCATGCCATTCAACCCACCATTTGGAACAGCACAACTGTTCTCAGAAAAAGTTGCACAGATCCAATCCTCCCATGGAAGACCGAGGGCTAGAGCTCGTTCACCACATGTAGCATTCATCTCGTAACAAAACGATTTGCATGGATGTCTGTAGTGTGAAATAATTGAGATAACGTTTATTATTCGTACAAACAATTTTATAAGACTAATTTAATAATACATTGTACGTAGATTAGGGCATATGCATAAGAGATATACAAGACCTAGAAACGAGAAAGCATTTGTACATTTAATGCCATCTACCTTAAAATCACAACATCATGTAATCTACCTAAAAATTGAATTCGATGACTCAACTCTATTTACATTCTTCCATAATTGTAGATAGCACGACGCAAAACTTTATTGCAACACAAGGGGAACAGAAGGATCAAATTTTCAACCACCACTGTAGTACAAATTTTACCCTTCTGTATCCTTTGTATTGGAATAAAGTTTAGCATCGTACTACTATGAACGTCCCAAGTTACTCACCTTTGTCCTTCAGTTGTACACTGCGGAAATAAAATCGAACACAAGAAGAAATTCAAGTCCGGATGACAGTCGCTGATTGGATCGTAAGCCGGGAACACGAACGGGGCGGTTTGGAGAGCAAATCCTTGATTCGGCCACCCGAAGATGTTCGGGAAGGATGTCTGGGAGTACGGCAGACCCATACAACCACTGTACTGGATGGGCTCGCATTCTAAAGAAAAAAATATAAAGACAATATAGATAACTGAATCTTGCAAAGTAGATACAACAGCCTCTATGTTTGAAACTGAACATCCAGCTGCAGTATTATCCGATTCCTCAAGAAGGCGCGGTTCTACGTACCTGCTGACTGTCTGATCAGAAAGCACGTTGGATCCTCCATCTGGTCAGGAAATACGTTGCATGAAAATGGTAAACTCAGTCCATCCGGTAAGCATCTTGCGTTTATTTCCTCACAGGAACTCCTGCACAACTGTATCTGCAGTCGAGAAGAAGTAACACATGAATCAAACGACATCACAATTACCGTGATTTTGAGAAATGCCACTCACCACTGACATCAATTTATGATGCTAGAGTTGTATAACTTGGGCACTGCAACGTAATGGATACAAGAAAAAGGTTGACTACACAATAAAGATTCAATATCTCTAGATGTAACAGTCAAATTTATTCTCCTACCTGCGTGCCATTCTCACACTTTGGCAAAAACATCATACAAAAGGCTGAATAGATGTCTGGGTAGCAGCTTGTTGAGATGTTGTTTAGGACCGATCCGAAGAGGAAGTATTCTTGGGAGCTTATCATCTGCTGCGAAGACAGATGACCAAAGGAGTTGGGGAATGATGTTGTGTTGTACCCGGTGAGGGGTTCGCAAATGTTTTGAAGTCCCTGTGGAAAGGGCTCGCATCCGCCTGTAGGAAAGGAACATGACAGACAAAACAGAGTAATTTAGTAATGATTAACCGCGAAAACCACGAGAGAGATGGAGAGAGAGGGGGGAGAGGAGATAGTTGTAGATATGTAATAGTAAACGAACGTGCGCCATCTAGCTGGATCAGACCTAGAGGCATACCCAATCGCGGATGAGAAGACAAACTGAGTGCAGAACTAAGACCTAACAATAGCCTGGCAGAGGGCCCAGGACAGAACCAACAGTTTTCATTCAAGTAAGCAATTCAATGATAACCCTTACAGTTACACATTCAATGATTTACGAACAATTTGAACTTAAGTCGGTATAACGATCAGCATTTTCAAAGGAATGCTCTCTAAGTAGACGAAGTAACACACAATATCAAATGGTCACACAAAGTACGCATCTATATCTCGTCACATATTTTCTCACGGCGTCAAGGCAACAGATGACTTTTACCGGCAGCTGGCTCAAGACATTCCCCGTCACCCCTGCTCGGCAGATCTGCACAGCTCCGTGGCCATTCTTCGCCGATAGCTTGCAGTGAAGCTTCACAGCTGGCTCGAACTTCTTCACACAATTCTTGGCATGGTGGGACCTGAATAATTAAGATAATTAAGATAAGAAATTAATTAGGAGACTTAATCTCAAGATTAAGTAGCGAAGGCTCTGATTTTAATGATGTGCAAAAGGCTAAGACAAAGTCATGTGGAAGCCTATAGCTACTACAAATCAAGATGTATGATGTATTTTACAGGTACGCTATCAGTGTCTATAGATATTGAGGGTTTTATTCGTATATTACGTACCAGCTGGTCATCCTCGCACTTTGGAAACACTGCTGTGCACATGAGGAAGGTAAATGACGGATGACATCCCGATACTTGGTTCAGGGCAAATGCAGCTTGGACAGTTGATGATTCTGAGGTATGGTTTAGGTAGTTCGGTAACGACGTGTTCTCATACGGCAGGAGATGGTTACAAATAGCCTGTGCTATAGAAATGATGGGTCGGCATACACCTGCACAAAAATAAAGCAAACCGTATATCTAAAAGTATCTTCAAAGATGGTCACTTGCACAAGATAGTAGATGATGATATGTATATCCTTTAGCCATTAGCTGCACTAAATGCACTTGTCTTGTCTATTCCCCCCTACCCTTTGTCTGCACCCACTTGCACATCCACTCAGCGCAGACTGCTAATAATCCGCCACCGGCGGGATAAGCAGTAACGAAGAAGAAGAAGATTATCATTGGGCCTCGCAGGACAAAAATGTCACTCAACTGTAATCTATTGGCTTTGGAATACTGTAGAGAATATACGATGTGTTTATGAATAGAAGGAAAGACGTTTGTACGTTTAATACTGCTCTTATAAGCTAAGTAGTGGTCATATCTCACATAAACTATGCATAATAATGTGAACTACTATTTACAGGTTCAACGTATCGCTCCTTGATGCATTTGCAGATGTACGAATATATGGATCTTGATAAGGTTTTTCTCAAGCTTCATAAGGAATATGAATTTTTCTGTTTCATCTAAAATTCTAAAGCAAGAACTTATAATTTCTTTTTTTGTAAATATAGAGGGAATTTCTTTTTAAAGAATGCAGCAGGATGACATATACCAAAGACATCAAGCTCAAGCAACTGAATATGATTTTGGAAACGGTCAGACGTTTCAGGCAGAATCCACTACCTTTCGTCAGTGACATTACAGAACTTGGCGCTCCCAGCCTCGTGGACGGATAACACTTTTAAAAGCTCCTGTTCTGAAACAACAGGGGCTCTTAACAAATTGTTTAACTTCGTTTCCTTTTGGACTTCCAAACATTCCAAATGTGGGGTCGTGTGGCGCAGCGGTAGCGCGTTCGGCTCGGGACCGAGAGGTCCAGGGTTCGATCCCCACCCATGTCACCGATCTTGTGCCCTTGGGAAAGGCACTTTACACGAATTTCCTCACTTCACTCAGGTGTAAATGAGTACCTAGCTTCGGTTAGGGACGTCCCACACCTTTCGAAAAAGAGTAGGGGCATGCCCCGGTGTGCGATGGTCCAAATTCTACAACCCAAATACTACAGTGTACACTACCAGGTGCATGAATGTGAAAATTATGTGAATTTCGTGCAAAATTTTAATGAAATGTGAAAAAATGTGATGTAATGTGAATCCCATTAGAAATATGTGAAACCCAAAATGTGATTTTTTTTCAAAATGTGAATCGTCAAATGTTATTTTATGTGAAACAATGTAACTGTTTGAAAAATGTGAATCGATTATGTGAAATCACACAACCCGAAAACATGGCCAAAAAAAATGTGAATTCAAAATGTGAGAAGATGTGAAGAAATGTGAAGCGGTTTTACCCCGCAAACTGAAAGCAGTCAAATGTGAAATTATGTGAAGTTCAAATCACATTTTTTCACATAAGAGGTCAGAATGTTATTTTATGTGAAAATGCTTCACATAATTTCACATTTGCCTATTCCTAGATGATTATGTGATTTTATGTGAAAATTTTTGTAACAGGTAACAAACTTATTTACGACCGTTTCTAGGTTTCCGAGATTCCTCCTCAAATAGGTGTTAAAATGCAAACACATCGGGGTGAGACAAACTTGTGGGGCTTCTCGCGCCTCCGCTTTAGGGTCTTCGCCTCAGGGGTGAGGTTCCAACTTCACGTTGAGGTGCCAATTACACCCGATTTGCATAATAAGCGATGGCTTCTGACATTTGTTCTTGGTCAGGGAACTATGGTGAAGATAGCATAAATAAGTGCGGAAAAGCGTAACCAAAGAGTTTTAACTAAGAACAATTAAACAAGGGGTTTTGACGATAACCTGCGCCCAGAACGCAAACCAATTAGAGCGCCCGACAGGGATTTCCAGCTTTTATGCGTCTCTCGCGTCAAAGCTAACATGGCTTGTGTCTAAGCCCATTCGATTCATTGTGAAAAGAGGGCTGTTACATTGCAGACGTTTTGAGTGCGTGTGCTAGGAAACGTTCTGTCAAGTGAAGGGCGGTATTGTATTTGGACTTTATTTTCAAACACTATAGTACGCCTGTAGCCTATTTCTATCCTCTTAGAATCCTGTATGTCCTTGAATGTTACAAAAATGATTTTCTGCTACCAACTGTACATTTTTCACATATTTTCACATACCCGAAGTTCACTACGGTCCGTGTCTATATACAAGGCGCTGTATGTACTGAGTTCCTGTACATTTAGAACTCATAGAATGTTTAACTCGAGGCGGATAAAACCATTTTCAAACCGATATACACCATAATACTGGGTAACTGCGGACTATTTTAATTTTCCTTTACATTAAACGATTCTTTCGTTATCAGCCTGGAACCCATAACTTCTCAGTCAACAACCTACCCGAAGTTTACTACGGTCCGTGTCTATATACACGGCGCTGTATGTACTGACTTCCTGAACATTTAGAAGTCATAGAATATGTTCAACTCGAGACAGATAAAACATTTTTCAAACGGAGAGAGACCATAATACTGGGTAACTGTGGACTATTTTAGTTTTCCTTTAGATTAAACGATTCTTTCGTTATCAGCCTGGAACCCATAACTTCTCAGTCAACAACCTACCCGAAGCTTACTACGGTCTGTGTCTATATGCACGGGGCGTATGTACGGCGCTGTATGTACTGACTTCCTGAACATTTAGAAGTCATAGAATATGTTCAACTCGAGACAGATAAAACATTTTTCAAACGGAGAGAGACCATAATACTGGGTAACTGTGGACTATTTTAGTTTTCCTTTAGATTAAACGATTCTTTCGTTATCAGCCTGGAACCCATAACTTCTCAGTCAACAACCTACCCGAAGTTTACTACGGTCCGTGTCTATATACACGGCGCTGTATGTACTGAGTTCCTGAACATTTAGAAGTCATAGAATATGTTCAACTCGAGACAGATAAAACATTTATTTTTCAAACGGAGAAAGACCATAATACAGGGTAACTGTCGACTATTTTAGTTTTCCTTTAGATTAAACGATTCTTTCGTTATCAGCCTGGAAACCATAATTTCTCAGTCAACAACCTACCCGAAGTTCACTACGGTCCGTGTCTATATACACGGTGCTGTATGTACTGAGTTCCTGAACATTTAGAAGTCATAGAATATGTTTAACTCGAGACAGATAAACCATTTTTCAAACCGAGAAAGACCATAATACCCGGGTAACTGTGGACTATTTTTACGCGACAATCTATTTATTTAGCATGTCCATGTTAGGACAACACGGGGTATGCCCGCTTCTGTTGTTATGGCGTAATAAATGGAACACGTCCTTGCTTATTTGACATCAGATTTGTGCTGCTTGCTTGTTATTAGTGAATAAAAATTAAGGAGGCTGAACTCCCCATTCTAGTTTTAATCTTGTACTTTTTTCGGTGCATACCAGGGATTCCCTTAATAACGGGTCGGGGACGGAAATATCTGGCACGAGTTTGCGAGTTTATTTGTTTGTAAACTTGTCCTAACGAGTGACTTGGGGACTCATTAATTCGGTTCTTCAAGATACTGTATAAGTTTAAAGCATTAACTTGATGTATTTCATGATGCTTACACGATATTTTGTACAGACTGCCTTTACAAACTGGACCAAAGGGATTCAAACATGTGATTCTTTACTTAAATAGTGTTTCAAACGCCTTGACTGGCCTTGTCCAAACTATCAATGTGTCGCGATATTCGGCGCTTTCACTTGTAAAATGGATAATTAGCAACATAAGAGTGGCACGCGAGAGGGAGTGGGGGGGGGGGCTCACACCTTTTGTTCGTTGATTAGTACTGAATGATAGATAACAATCACATCATACAATAAGGTAATAGGCCTGTATTGTTTACAATACACATTCGCGCGCTTGCCCCACAAATGATTAGCCCATTCAATGGAGAAGACCTACAAGTACACTTACCTTTTACATATTCTGTCAACTCACATGATTCTCGGTCTTGTGTAATCACGAATCACATTAATTTCACATTTGTTTCACCTGTCAAAAATGTGATTTGATGTCACATTTTTTCACATTTTGCGTTTTCATGAACATCACATAAATTTCACATTTCGCGGACTGCCAGATGTCTTCACATCTTTTCACATTTTGTAGTCAAACCCATTTCACATAACTTTCACATAAAGACACATTTTTAAAAATGTGACTCAGGTTAACATTGTTTCACATTTTCACTGAGAGTACGTTTCACATAAAAATCACATAGACATCGGCGGAAAAAGAACATACAGGCAGTCACATAATTTCACATAATGGGAGGAGATCCAACATCACATTTAGATAACATCTTTTCACATTTGAAAATGTGATTTTTCTGGACCGTTCACTGCAAATGTGAAAAAAATGTGACGCAAAATAATAACATTTTTTCACATAAAGGTGTCGCGCTTCAGAAATGTTATATTATATGATTTTCTGTGAACTTATGTGATAAAATGTGATGCTGTTGAACCTCAAAAAAATTCACATTACATCACATTTTTTCACATTTCCTTGAAATTTTCCACGAAATTCACATAATTTTCACATTTATGCACCTGGTAGTGGTAGCAGAATCATCAGCAAGTTGATGTTGGCTACCTTAACCTCCAAGACCTCCAAGACCAAGACCAAGATTTGTCTTCCCTTATTTGCATATCGATCAATAGTTCTTGCTTGTAAACCTTCCTTTCTGCACAAGTTCTCTAGTGTCACTAACGAAAGGTAGTGGTTTCAAAAATAATATCCAGTTGCTTGATGACCTGTTTTTGGCTTATCTTATTACCTGGATGTCTGACCTTCACCAAAGTAACAGGATAGCATCTTCATGAAAGAATGAAGAAAAGCAAACAATCGTACAACACTAGCTCACCGGGAGGATCATTATTCATGCAAACATCTGGGAACTCGTCTAGACCATCACTGCAGTCTGGAACTCCGTTACAAGTCTTCACCCAGGATATGCACTCTCCGCTAAACAAGCATTGGAATTGTGTACATCGTGCTGTTCAATGGAAACAGAAAGATATCAATACATGATAATATTACTTAACAGTTGTAACCGGTCTATGGTATTACATTTTGTATATTTTGTGTTAGATTATGGTCCAAGCATGTGCACATCCTGCTTCCCACACATAGAGAAAGCAAGCTGCAAGCATCTCATTGTATCTTGTACGTCCTTATCAGTATCCTTATACAATGTGCCCTATGTGACTATATTTTGCGCAGTTAAGTCATAGTCTTTTGAGACTGATTGACAGAGAGACAGACATGTGTATATCATATTGCATAGAATGAATTTTGCTTTAACTAATATCTCTGTGAAGTGTCTAAATGGCATTGTAAAAAGCTTCACCTCGGGCATCATTTAGATCATGTTTTATTTTTCAACAAATGATTAAGACAGAAATGATAGTTAGCACTTCAGCTTTGGTCCCACGGGAAAGCAATACATTTATGTAGCTCATATGCATGTGATACCTCAGACAAGCTAGCTGATTTGATCTTACCTGTGGGGGTGTTTGGCCCTTGAGTTGTAGCTGCTGCAGCAGTGGCTGTCGTGCTTGGTTGTTGAGTTGTAGGTGCTTCAGTCGATGATGCTGTGTTAGGTTGTTGAGTTGTAGTTGCATGGACAAATGTACATAGTCATTGGCCTAGCATTGCATGAATTTTAAGTGAATGCCATCATTTGTATTTGAAATTTTGCAAAGGGTAATCTATCAGCAACAAATCCCATTG